TATGTGTTTGTGTGTGTAAGTGTGTGTGTGTCCGTCCGTGTGTCCGTTAACTGCTTTTTCAGTGAATTCCGTGATTATTGCTTGAATGTTTCTTTCCGGTACTCGCCTCGCTCTTTGGCCACACGGCCTCTGCTGCCTCTGTCGTCTCTGCTGTCTTTCTGTCTCTCAATTTCTGTTTCAGTCGCTGTGGCTGTGTCTTAACACTGAAGCTTCTGTAACTATCAGTGTTGCCCCCCTTTTTGGCCATTTAATAGCCAAACGTAGCTAAAGTGCACTTTTGTTCATTTATTATAAGCTGCAATATTGGTTTTATGCAAATAAAATTGTCAAGCCTAAAAGCATAATAACATTTGCCAATTTTTCTCTGCATTTTGTTGACTTTCAAATGCTGGCAACACTGGTCGCAATCGCAGTCTTAATACACTCCTCAAGCCTCTGTTTCTCTGTTGCTGTTTCTCTGCTTCTCTGTTGCTGTTGCTATCTCTTTTTCTGCCCAATGTCATTGCGTCGTCTGCTTTTGCTTTGGTACCTTTTTCGTTGCTGCTGCTGCTGCTGCCGCTGCTGCTGTTGTTGTTATTGTTATTGTTGCTGTTGCTTTTATCAGCTTCTCTCGGTCTCTCGGCCGGCCGGCCCCGTCCATCCGTCTGTCTGTCTGTCTGTCCAGCCGTCCACTTTGCTGTGTGTGGTCAAGTTAATGTCTTCATAATTCTTTTGATTTTTTTTACGTCTTACGTTCGTTGCTCGTTGTTTTTGTTGTTGTCCTTAGTGTTATTGTTGTTGTTGCTGTTGTGCCCCGTTGCTGGGCCACGCCGCTGATGAAGACAATAACAGTTTTATGTGCGGACAGTGAGACAGAAGAGGTAGGGCCCGGGTCCCGTCGTCTCGTAACCGGGCCTAATGAAGCTGAGTGAAAAAAAAACACACACATAGACATAATTCGACTTCCAACATCCCCCCCACCCCAGCAACTATCAACAAATAAAGTTGTCTCTCTCTCTCTGCCTCTCTCTCTCCCCATGTCCGTGGTGTTGGTGTGAGGCCTCAAAATTGAGCTGTCAATTGTTTGGGGGCAACGTGTGGGTGCTATTTGGGGCACTGACACGCCACCATGGTATGTATGTGTGTGTGTGTGTGTGGGTAGCTGAGCATTATTATTTTCTTTTTTTTGGGTTATTTTTAGTTTCAATTGTGAGAGGAAGGGGAAATGCGCTCAAAAGTGTAAGAAGATTATAGGTCAGACAGGATCAGAGCGACATATCCAATAGTTTATGAGTTTGTTGGCGTTGGGTTAAATAGAGCATCAGTCTAGAGCATATATTCAATTTAACTGAATCATAATATGCATCTATTATCAACTAGTTTATCAAGAATTTCATTTCGAGCTTTGTATGCCTTTCAATCTGAACTCAATATTGAAACAAAGCGAACAAAACAAACTGAGAAATGCCAAGTTCAAATCAGAGCCGCGCACCAAATAAATATTATAATCAGAAGATAAGATCGGCTGATAAGATCTCATGCAACAGCAGGTGTAAGTCACATAAATCAGTATCACACGTTGCCCCAATATTTGTTTTAATGGGGACAAACACCGACAACACAAAATAAATTATAATAAATTTGAGAAAAAAGTGATGAAATGCAGCAAATAAAAGACACAAAATTAGCAGAATTAAATCATTTTATAGAAACTATGCGATTCAATATGAATTTGTCATTTGTTTTCAAATAAAATTTATAAATTTACGCAATTTTATTATTATTATGTGAATACAGGTTACAAAGACAAACAGCTCGAAAAGACCCCAAAAAAATGTAAGGAAAAAGATCTGAGGAAACCGAGGGCGAGTCTCAAGTGGAAAGAGTGAGAGAGAGAGGGCGTGAGATTGAGAGGGATAGAGAGGGAGATTGTGTGTGCAAACTAATCCTTAAGCAAACACACGTCCCACTTTAAGCAGAAAAGATACCTGCATAAAATGCTCTCAGCGCTCAGTTCCAAGCGATGGAAGTCGAGCCGAAAGTGCCTTCCGAGAAGAGCAGAAGGAATTAATATTGCTGCTGCTGCTGCTGTTATTGTTGTGAATGTGTCGATGAAGATATCTCACGCCTACGAAAGCATTTCCGGCTTACATTTTAACAGCGGTGAGCGAGGAGAGAGCAATGAAAGAAAGACAGAAAGAGAGAGAGAGATATAGAGAGAGATGGCGGGGAAGGGTGGACAACGAAGGGAAGTACTCGGCTCTTAACAAGTTAACTGTAATTTAAATGTAAGAGAAGTGTTGAAATCTAAAGATAAAGAAAGACAGACAGAGAGAGAGAGAGAGAGAGAGAGAGAGAGAGAGAGAGATAAGGGCGGCTAGATGTGAGGCTGCCGTTGTCCTTTAGTCCTATTTGCAGTTCTTAGAAAGGGTGTCAACCCTGTCAACAAACTGACTATCGCTGAAGAGTTGATGAAAGGCGTGTATAAAGTGCATTGAGTCAATACGTGGAAAGTGGGCTGATCTTGGTGCTTGGACAAAATATTCAATGTAAATTTAGAAGTACTTGCTACACTCAGAAAAAAGATCGTCCTGATTTTGAGAAAATCGTCATACTCTTGGCGCCAAGCCACAAACCTTTGGCTTTATAAAAACTAGTCTTTCTTTTATTGTCATGGGTAAATTTGTCTTAAATTTAGATAAAAGATTTTGTGTAATTATTATTATTATTAAACATTAGTATTTTAAGATTGCACATATACCAATATTAATTTAATTTGAAAAACTCACAATTTGAAAACAATTAGAATTCGAGACCCAGCTAAGGTCTGATTTTAGAGTTTTAGACTGAATTTTGTCCAAAAATAAGAGTTATACATTTCTACCCTTATCTCAATAATTTAAATATTTATGAAAGATATAAAAAAAGTTTTCGTAAATCTAGTAATTATTTCTTATAAGCAAGAAAATCGTTCAAATTTTCAGGTCGATTATGAGTGTAGAATCTTCAATCACAACTTTACTTTCTAGCTATTAAATAAAATCAATTTTCGAATTATTTGTGGATTTATTGATATTTAAAGCACCTAATGCATTAAATGTAACAATGCTTTCATTGGAAATAGTTTGATAAGGAAACAGAAATGCAGCTACTTTCCCCATTTTCGCATTTCAATATATTTCCTTATCTTTTCTGCAGGCTAAGCAAACGTTTCAAAATTGTTTAACTAAGCCAAACAAGTGTAAGTTATTTCCTGTAAGTATTTTATTGTTTATATGGTTTTTGTTTACCCGACTCATTACGATGCAGCTGCTTATTTACGATTGCAGAGAGTTGATGCTACTGGTTTTCGATTTTGGCCATGTCAATTTTCGAGTTAACGTTTCGCCGCACAGCCAACCGATCAATATTTGTTTTTCATGTGCTGTTGTGAAAAGATCGGGGCGGCGGCATGACTTAACATAATTGTTACCCACATAGCCACATAAACAACAACAACAACCAAAGCAACAACAACGTACCAAAACTTCTTCAAAATGCCGCCAATGTTTCTCAACTTCCTGTGTGTTGAGTGGTTATCTGTATATGTGTGTGTGTGAATGTGTGCTTTACAATTGGCACAGAGACTCCGACGATTTCATTCATGAATTTATAAGTACATATACATGTCTGCATGTATCTTATAGACACACGTATAAACACACACAAATACAAATACAATGACCCTCGTCGTGCCTCCAACACAGCCACATATTCATTCGAAATTCGTACATGGCCTGCATCCATAGTGCGCTATTGCCATAAATTACCTTGCGCCAGCCAGCAAATACAAATACAAATTTACAAAAGAGTGTTCGTCTCGTCGAGAGCACAACTCGACTAGAATAATACCTTGATGCCTTATCTATATAGATGCTACTTTATCTATCTGTCTAATATGTATATATCTACATAAATTATTTGCGCTTTTCTCTAAGTAATTTGGTAAATTTTCAGATTCTTAAACTTAATCAAAAATATGTAAAAAAAAAAAAATAAAAATATTCTTATATTTTTACTGATGATCAATATTATGTAATATATATAGTATACAGTAATATATATATATATATTCACATCTTTAGAATAGTGTTTTTTACTTTATTATTTTAATATGTACTAAAAGCAGTCCACAGTTTCCAATAAAAATTTTAAATTAATGTTACAAATTAAATTATAAATTAAAAACCAAAAGAGAGAAATTTAATTAAAAATTAAAATGATATATAAATAAAGAAATAAAGGCTATCATAAATACATTATAATTAAATATATTATTAAGCGTGAGTAGCTTAGTAATAAGGAATGTTAAAAAAAAGAGCGAAAGAATAGGGTAAGAAATAGACTGAGAGGGAGTGCTATCGAACATCGATTTGAATCAATAAAATATGACAAAAATGATAGAGAATATATATACTTTATGGGTTCGGTGTAGCTACCTTTTACCTATCACATACTTCGGCACACAATCACAATACCCTTTCTACCAATTTCACATAAGTTTAGGACATGTAAGGAAATAGTTGAGAGACTATTGCATGTCCTTTAAACAGATTTGAGAAGGTTGCAATTTGAAAATATATATCTATAGTAATATTGAATTATTGGCAGCTTAATTGAAATAACGTTTCTTAAACCTTGTCAAAGTAGCACTGCCCGTCGTGGCAAATATAACTGGGTATTCAGCAGTCAAATAGGTAAAGAATTGACAAAGAGAAAATGACGATAATAATAATAAAAACAACAGCAACAGCACAGCTTGACGAATTTGGCATTCAGCTCGTTGATGAGGACGTCACCCTCGGACCTCCCAGTAGCGACGATTTTATTTGTTTTGTCTTGCCAATTTGCATATAGCCTGGCCAACTGAGCAACAAAAAAAAGCTAACAAATGCAGTCATTGTTGTTTTTTTTGTTGCCTGGCTTCGTTAGACCAAAATTAATGTCTTAATATATTTCGTTAAATTGAGTCATTAAAATAAATCGCCCATCGTCGTTGATGGCGACGGCGCCGACGCGTCACGAGCAAAAGGCCAAAACACAAAACACAAGCAACAACAAAAACAACAGCAACAAAAACAAAAACAAGACACGACCACACCTCAGCTGCCTCAACGATGCAACAAGATGCTGGAGCACAGCAAAACGATCCTCGATCGTAGCAGTTGTTTTTGTTGCTGTTGTTGCCACAACTTTCGAGAAGTTCAACGATGTAACGTTACGAGAAATAATTGAGGAGGCGAAGCAGACAACAACAAAAAACGAAAGAGAGACGCAGCAGCAGCAGCAAATAATGAAGACATCAAGTTGTAACAAGTAAGACTAAGCTATAGAATGGAGTGTGCGCGACTAGCCAAATACCCTGGCCAGAGGAAAATATGAACAACTTTACTACATTTAACATTTAAAGTTGTTACCAAAAATTTCAATAATTTTCTTTAAAAAAAAAACGTATTCAACTCTTAAAATATATAAAAATATTCGGAAAAGAGTGTTTACTACTTCTTAAAAAACTATATACAACTCTTAATCAAATACATACAAATATCTTGAGTCATACATTCTACTCTTGTTTATAGTAAACAAATTTTTTATTCGTCGATCATCATTTGCATAACTTTAAACTACTCGCTTTTGCACACGTTCTTAATGTTTACAGGATATACAAAAAAAAAAAAAACAGCCATGCAAAATAAAAGCTACATTTTCGGGTAACAGAAGCATCGAGAAAAGTGAAGATTGCTGTGCCTGCCACAGTTGTGAAGACACTGCACGCCAACAAAAAAAAGCGCGTGCGTCAGTGAAATATTTTGTTGTGTATTTTTTATGCCATTCGTGGGCCACCCGCATTCAATGAATGTACAAACACATATGTATATATATATATATATATATAATTAAATATATATACGTCGGTTTCTTCTAGCTGACGTGACGAGCTGTGTGTGCGGCATCCAAGAACAACAATAAAACAAACCGAATGCTTTTGGCAACAACAACAACATGAAATCAGTAGCAGCGGGCAGCAGCAGCACACATGAAAAACATGAACGATAAATAAAAAAAAATAAACATTGTAAAAAGCTAACAGCGAATTGGAAATGCTCTTTATCAGGTATAAATACAAAAACACAACTGAAACAATTTTAAATAATAAATAAACATAATTTCATATGGAGGCGATCAATCAGTTCATCAATAAATATTTATTTACATACATATCTATTAATTTATCTTTGCTGACAAAAACTCAATTGAACACAATTGAATAATAAATATATAAAATAGATTTCATTTCGAGGCGATCAATCAATATATATTTATTTATATATATTTTTTCTAACAAAAAATCAATTTAAAATATTTTCATAAATAACGAGCTGTAATTTCGATCAATTCGCATAGAGTATTTCATCTTCGTCGCACTGTAGTTAATCTATTTTGCCTTTTGTTTACTTTTTATCATTGTGTGCATTCCAACAACAGCAACAAACGTAAGGGCAAAGCTGCAAAGCTCATTTCATCAAAGAGTAAATCCAAACGTCTCTTTCTTCTTCTTTTTCGTCTTGTGCGCACAAATACATTGAAAGAGCAGCTTCTGCTGCAGTCAAAGCTTCACTGTTTTTGGCACTCGTTATCGTCGACGTTGTTGTTGTTGCTGTATTTTGAGCAGTTGTTATTTTTGTTGCTGCTGCGGCTGCTGTTGTTGATTTTTTGCGGTCAGTCGCCGTCGTCGTCGCGTCGCACAGTAGCACAAAATAATGAAGTTGTTTTTGGTCTTTGGTGGCCCTGCTGTGCGCCAAGTGAAAATACTGCATAGCTTTTAGGCTTTGATTGTTTGTTTGTTTTTGTTGTGGTTGCAGTTGCTGTCAGTTTAAAGTCAGTGAAAACTCTTGCATACAAACATATGTACATAAATTACATACATACATTTTAATGTTGATCTATTTTTGGTATTGAGCTCTGTTATGTTATGTTGAGCATACAAAGTGGCTATGCCAAGTTACATAGTAATGTGTATAAGCATTGACTATGTTAGAAAAACTAGCTTCAGTAAGTCGATATTGGAATCGACATTTCCAAACAGGTGATGAGCAACCGAATAACAGTAATTAAATGCAAAGAACTTATTTCGTCTCTTAGTTGAATTCTAACGGGTTCACATTGAATGCAAATAGTTAAATAATTTAAGGCTTGTCAAAAATTTGTAGAAATGTCTTTTTTTTAAACAATTCTCCTACAACAACTCAATGAAATTAATTAAGTACAAATAAATAAAACAAGAAATCGAATCAAACAAAAAAAGCAAACGATTTTGTCGCCGTTGTCAACCGCAAATGACTCTATTATAACAAATTGAGCAAAAACAACAAACAAAACAAAACAAAGAAGCGAAATGAAAACGAAACGCGGCGACAAAAAAAAAGAAGAACGGCAAATGATATCGGCAATAAATTGGTATTGGAAACTGTCCAAACGGCTTAATGACTTAATTAAACAAAGCCACGCTGGAATTGTATTGTGGGATTTATGCTGGAACTGGAACTTAAAGCTTGGCTCTCTGTTTTTTTTTTTTGCTCACTTACCTTATCAATCTGATCGAGTGCCACTTGAGCGTCCACCCAGCTGGTGCGTATGTAAAGATCCGAGAATAATTTCTCATCGACGACATCGCCGTGTGTGTCTGGAACGCGCGGCAGGCTCTCTCTATCCATGTCGATATGCATGTGTGTGTAAGTGTATTCGTTGTGCGTTGTGTTCAAGGAGTGGGAGGACGCAAATAATGCACGTTCTCGCTCTCTCTCTCTCTCAGCTGTTAACGCTGCTCTAAGCCCTGCTGTTAATTAACAGCGACAGAAAAGTGCTACCAAATCGCTTGAACGTTCGCTCTTTGAGAATGTTATGTGTTTATGTGTGAGTTGTGTGCGTGTATTGTTTATTTTTGTTTTTGTTATTTTTTTTATGTATCCAAAAAAAAAACAAACAAATAACAATTACTTAATTTGCATTTTGCATTGCTCTGCATTTTGATGCACACAAAACAACAACTACAGCATTTTAAACACACGTTTTCTCGCTCTCTCTCTTGCACGCTGTTGTTTCGTTTCGATTTTGTTGTGATTGCTTATTTCTTATTTCGCTTTTGGCTTCAAATTCGAGCTGTGAACTCGTGTTTAAGATCGCTTTTCATTATTTATTTTTGTGCACATTTTTCCACAAGAATTTCAACAATTTTCACACATAATTCACAATTATGGCCATTTTCCGTTTTTTTTTTTAACACGCGACGCAAACGTCTCAAAAATGTAAAACACAACAACAACAAAAACAACAATGCTGCATCACGTTTTTTTTCTTTCCCTTCTTTTGCTTTTTTATTTTTTGATTTTCTGACACACACTGCGCACGTAGACGTTTCTTTTGCTGTTAGATATTAAATATATATTTGTTTCGACACTGTTTTAGTGTATATATAAATATATATATATATATATATATACATATAGACGAAGGCACTTTCAGGTCAGCTCGGCTTGTTAAAAAATTTTGGCATTCAGCGCGTTTTTGTTAAGTTGCCGCTCGCGCAGTGAACACAACCGTTTCGTTCGAGGATCGCACGCAGTCTGAGAGATACAGATAGACTCTGTGTTGTTTTTGCTTGAACTGAATGTTAACTCAAAATGGCACTGTTAGCACCTCGAAACGAGAGCGAGAGAGAGAGCTAAGTGCATGTCGCAGCCGCATCTTTGCTAGACAGACTACAACTTCATTAGCGTGCGGCTCTCTCTCTCGCTCGCTCTCTCTCTCTCTCTGCCTTATTCTCATTCTCAGACTCTGTTGCGGCCATTTTGATTTGAGCACGCCTGCTACTCACAACGAGGGCTACATTGCACTCGCTGTTAACAGTTGTGTGTTAGCTTTGAGAACAGCTCAGGACAGGGGATATTTTGATACCCTGTACACAAAAATTCGCTCTAAATGTTAGGCTTAAGCTAAATTATATTAAAGACTTAAACAAATATAAAATGAAAAATGTATCTTAAAAGGAGAAGATAAGTCAATAAAATAACCGAAATTATTTAATTAATTTAAAAAAACAAGTACGATTATTCATAAGCAGTTACAGTTACAGTTACAGTTTACGGTTCGTGCATTTCAAACTGTACAACCCGGCAGCAAATTGTTTAAACAAGCTTTTAATAGCGCTGGCTAATTTCTGTTTGTATTGTTGGTGTTGTTGTTTCAGCTTTGGACCACACACGACTAGCAAGGCGTGCGCCCGCTGGCATTTTATTGTTGATGTTGTTGTTGTTGTTGCTGTTGTTATTTTTATTGCAGCGACCACCCAAATAAAATGTTATTGTTGCTTCATTAAAAGCGGCTGCCGGCATTGTGGGTGGTCCCCGGTTCCCCCGTTCCCGCGCAGTTCCCTTCTCATCTGTCGCTCTTCTTCTGCCTGATGGCGGCCTTCAACTGTGCGAGCAGCAACGGCGACGTCGAAGTCGACGTCGCGAGTGGAGCTTTTATTGTTGTATGTGTGTGTGTGTGTGTGTGTGTGAGTGCTTGAGCCTGTGGAGCGCGTGCGTGGCAGGCTTTTTGTGTGTGTATATGTTCATGTGTGTGTGTGTGTTTGTGTTTTGTGCAGGCTGTGAATTGTTGGCAAATTTGTTAGCCCCATGTGGCTGTTCTTCTTTTTATTTTTGTTGTTTTTGTCTTTCACATGTGCTTGATGTCTGTTTTTGCATGTTTTTAATACTAAATTATGAGCAGGATATTTTCCAGTACCAGTGTGTGTGTGTGAGTGAGTGGGGACCACACAAGTTGTTGTTTTTTTGTGATCAAATTATATGCGGCCAGCTTAAAAATTGATTGTTTCTGTTTGCTGGCAAAAATGGTTCTTACTTACTCAAAATAAGTCTCGTAAGCATTTAAAACACATATAAACTTAAAACAATTGGAATATTTTTAGGGTAATTTGAGGGGAAATTTTAAGAGACCTTCAAAATCAAGAATGTGTATTGAAAATGGAAAAAATGTATCTTTTCTTTATTATTGACTTTTATTTTTTGTCTTATTTTTTAAATATTGGTTTTAAAAATAGTTTTAAAAAAATTGTATTCAGTATCTAATACTATTAGAAATTTATAAAACCAAAATCATACATATTTTCTCATTTCTTTTGAAAAGAAAATTACTTTATTATTAACTTTTATCTTGTATTATTTTTTTCTGCTTTAAATTGAGTGGTTAACAGTAGTTAAAAAAATTAACAAGATTCATTAACTAATAATATTTTGAAATTTTAATGCCTAAAATTATCCATTCTTTCTCATTCCTTTTCCAAAATAAAAAAAATTACTTTATTATTGACTTTCTTTTTCTTATTATTTTTCTACTATTAAAACGATTTAAAAAAAAACTTTCATCAATTTAAGAATGTTTTTAAGAACTAAAATTATATATTCTTCTTTTGAAGAAAAAAGTTCTTTATTTTTTACTATTACCATTTAATTATTATTATTATTAAAACTAGTTTAAAAATATAAATAAACCAGATTCTTGATTGACATTGTGGATACTTATATTTATTATTATGTATTTTAATACACAAAAGTAATGCATAATCCTGTCTTCACATTACAATATTACGCAATCAGAAAAACGTATTTTCTCAATGTTACTCAATTTATTGCAATTGCTTTGCAACTTCTCAAATTACCCCCAGCAACAATTTTCAATAGTTTATGAATGAAAATGCATATTATCAAAGAGTGATAGAGACAGCTGCACACACATACACCCATATACAGCTATATGCATATGTATGTGTGTGTGTATGCATTCCATACGACATAATCAAAAGGAAGAGAGAAAAAAATAAAAAATAAAACGCAACCAGTGATCACAAACAAAATTAGCGTTCGAATTGCATTCGAAATCGAACTCGCATTCAAATGCAACGTCATTGCGGAGACCCACCGCAAGCCGCTATTATACTCAAACAGGCAGCAACAACAAACAGCTTTTGATGACGAGTAGCACACGTAGCCAAACTCTTTCCCCCTCCACCACTCCCCTCATTCCAACATCATTCAGCTAGCACCTGGCTAACGTTACATCAATGTGAATGGCTGCTGTGCTTTTGCTGTTTCTCAGTGCGCTTGCACTCGAAATCTTCTGCACTCTTAATCTCTCTCTCTCTCTCTCTCTCTGTGTGTGTGATACTCTCTTGCGGCTGCGAGTCAAAGGGGAGACAATTCCCCTAGTTGTTGTTGTTGTTATTGTTGTCTGTGCCCCTTTCTGTTTTGGATTGCGTGTGGCGCATTTTGGCGACATGGGCGGCATTTTTGCCGCCGTCTCGCGAGCCGCATATTTTAGCTTTTTCCATTTACGTCGCGCTCTCAGCGGATTGCGCCATTTTTTTGCTCAATCCATTGGAAATTAGAGATGACAGTCGCTCGTGCTTATATACTTACACGAAATTTTAATCACTGAGATTTAAAAGTTACACAATATACAAACATTTCAAGTTAAAAATTGATTATCAGATATTTTTAATATAAATATATTATTTCATGTAGGCTAAATTGGTTACGTATTCAATTATCTAACATAATTATCGCACATTCATTTGCAATTCGTTGTGCTTTCAGAGCGTGATCGTATTTCTGTGCACATCACTGGCAGCGCAGCGCATGACTCTCATCTTTTTTGCTCTCAATGACTTGCAGTTTGTGCTGCTCAATTCGCCTGCAGCGTAAAACAGCTCCAATGCTCCCCATACACACTAACAGAGAGAGCGAGAGCGACAGAGCGAGAGAGAGAGAGTGAGCGTGAGCAAGAGAGAGGCAAACACACACACACACACACTTACACATGTACTTGGGCATTCAAATGCTGCGCCTGTGTGGCGGCAGCGGCGCAGCTGCCATTGGACCACCAACGTTGGTCGCTTGAGAGCTTCATTTGCCGTTTCAGTTGCGGCTATGTCGGGTTATTGTTGTTGTTGCTGTTGTTGTGGTTGTTGCTGGTGTTGTTGAAGCGAGTTGGTTGCCTGCCTGAATGCCTGGCTGACTGCCTGCCTGCCCGTCGCCTAGAGCACGGCAACTTTTTCAACATCGCCTTGTTTTCCGATATATCATTCATACGCTGGCAACTGATCTAGTTTGCGATGGGGATGGGAGCAGCTGTTGTTTTCATTTTATTTTTTTTGCTTTTCGAATCTCTCTCGAATCAGGACCACAACGAATTGAACGGTTGAAGGCGTCGCTGGGGTTGCCGCAGTTCGCATCGCAAGTAAACAAAAGCCAAGAAGGGGAGATCATCAAGATGCAAGATGCAAGATGCATCGATAGATTGTACAGGAAGTAACGTATTTCTCTGTACTTGGGGAAGCTTCCAGCTCACAGGGACTGGTTGTTATGACAGGTGCATTGTTATATATATATATATATGTGTATATGTGCTTCTGGGAGTACATATGTACTTACTCGTGGAATTCAAAATTAAATCAATATATTAATCTACATTTTATTTGTTCATTTCTTTAATAATTTTATAAAAAACATTTTAGTTTTCTGTCCATCTGTCATAAGCAGAGCGCTCATACAATTCATTTATTATTTTTTTAGTAAATAATTTTATTTAATCAATCTGAAGTTTCTGTCCATCTGTTACATGCAGAAATCTCATCAAATTATATGCATATAAATCTAAATTTTATTTATTCTTTTCTTAACTAAGTTTATAAAAAGAATTTTAATTTTCTATAATTTGTTATATGCAAAACTCTCATCCAATTAAATTATTTATTCTTTTCTAAAACAATTTTCCAAAAACAATCTTCATTTTTTTCCACCCATTAAATAAAGGTATTAATATTATTTTTTTTATTATTTTTTTAATAACTTTTTCAAAATAATCTTATATTTCTG